GAGCATGTTGGGAAATGTGTATAGGGGTGACATAACATAGCAACACTTGATGTATCACTTATCATAACTTGCCCGATTCTGTATCTATTTAACTTCTTTTGTATGAAGCAGCTTGCCTTGACATAGTTATATGACTACTGTGCCCAATATTATTGTGGGTTAGCTTCTATAAGCACTGATATATGTGCAGTATCATGAAAGAGAGACAGACACAGAAAATAACTAATAATTATGGGTCTACATGTATTCATACATTCACACCACTAGAGATGGTATGTTTCCGCACCTAAATATGCCTGAAAATCATTACCGACACTTCCGCTGTTGTTATAAATAATTGGACTAGTTACTGATCATTTACATGTGCTTCACTAAAATAGTTCACTTGCTATGCACGAGTATGGAAATGAAGCAGCAAGCTAGGTTATTAGTCCATTAAATAATATGAACAATATTGAGTATATGAGTCTTGATGCTATACACAACATAATACAAAATTTCATAATGCATCAACAGCAGGGTGCGAAATTAACGTGAGTCCAGAGTCAAATACTCCCTGATTTGACATATGCAGGAGTCCGTGTGACTCCCTGAAAATTTTGCTATATTAACTATAGTTCGTTCCAGAGCACGGCCTCGCAGAATTACCGTATTTTTCCAGTAAAAGTCCAAAGAAAATTTGGCAGATGTGCAACCGCATTAATCTTCCAAATGAGCACATGCGTTATTGTGAATATCTTTAATTTTGAACTTCAGACTGCGGACTCCCTCATTTTGCTGCGGACTCCCTCTTTTTGAGGGCAGGGAGTCCTTTGGACTCCAACGGACTCCCTTGTTCAAAAGTTAATTTTTACCCCTGAATAGTATCACAATCTCTGCTAGACAATCTACACGCTCTGCGACAACCAGTCTAGCCAGAGGTGACCTTTCAGTGTACCCTGGGTTGCACACTTGTTCTTGCGTGTGGACGTACATGTATTCTATTCTATGGATTCTATCTATGGATTCTATTCTACAGATCCTGTTTCGGTATGTGTTCTGCTATATGGAATGATGTAGTCCCAAATGTGTTCACATACACGCCGAACAGTGGAATGCACAGGGATGGTATCAGGAACCTTCTCAAAGAATGTTCGTTGGATCGTGTATGAAAGTTGCCACGAGATGGCGCGTACGTTTAAGTGTCTTCAGATTAAGATGGAAGCTCCCATCATACGTAGTAGCAACAACTATTTGAAGACAGAATAGGTAACGCACTCATCCATTTACCTACGCAAGCCTACAGGCTGCAAATTGCAATAGAGAGCTGCCACCTGTAACAATTAACGCAGGCAAAAACTGCACCAACAATGCACTGGCAGCAGCCACTGGCAGTGGCATACGTTACATGTAACATACTGACAGTACAGAATGACATAGAAATTATACGATTTAAGGACATACACTTCTTTAAACCAATTTAGCTTTTGAAATTTCACTGTGACATTGTAGCCTCATACATCCAGGCATGTATAGATTCTACTAGCAAACCCGGCAGTCAAATTCTTCTAACAGACAGTCAACAAATCCAAGTTAACCCTCCTCTTGAGGTCAAAGGATTAGCCGACACTTACTCTCTCGCTATGTCAGCAGAAGGGATTTCATGTCCTTTCAATAAAGCCATAAAATGCTAGGTCACCGCTGAAACAAAAGTTTTTCAATCGCTCCGTCAGACGAGTCCTCAGTAAAATGTCTAAAATCTGCACTGTGCCACCTGACCTTTGGCTGTGACCTCATTTTCGGCACGAGTGATGGCTTTTCCTACCATGATGCTATATCCGACTATCACGAGCCTAGGCTGAGCCGTTTAGATTGTGCGCAATTCTGCATTTCTCCTATACCTTAAGTTAAGGAGTGAATGTTCCCCCTTCTTTACACTCTTGACCTTTGACGCTTGTGACCCCAGCCTTCACATCCCAACTCGTTTTCGATTACCCCCCACGTCCCGAATATCGTGACCGTACTCGAGCGCGTAAGATTTGTGCCCAACTGTTGACGGACGCACCACGACGCGACGACGATCATGCGATTCTACAAGCTGCATCTGACTATGTCAGATGAGCTAAAAATACGGCAATACTATTGTGATACTATTCAGGGGTAGAAACTAACTTTGAACAAGGGAGTCCGTTGGAGTCCAACGGACTCCCTGCCCTCAAAAGAGGGAGTCCGCCAGCAAAATGAGGGAGTCCGCAGTCTGAAGTTCAAAATTAAAGATATTCACAATAACACATTGCTTATTTGGAAGATTAATGCGTTGCACATCTGCCAATTTTCTTTGGACTTTTACTGGAAAAATACGGTAAGTCTGCGGGGTGCTCAGGAACGAACTATAGTTAATATCAGCAAAATTTTCAGCAGTCACACGGATTCCTGCATATGTCAAATCAGGGAGTATTTGACTCTGGACTCACGTTAATTTCGCACCCTGCTCGATTGATGCATATAAATTTTGTATTATGTTGTGTATAGCATCAAGACTCATATACTCAATTTGTTTCATATTATTTAATGGACTAATAACCTAGCTGTGGCTTCATTTCATACTCGTGCATAGCAAGTGAACTATTTTAGTGAAGCACATGTAAAATTATCAGTAACTAGTCCAATTATTTATAACAATAGCGGAAGTGTCGGTAATGATTTTCAGGCATATTTAGGTGCGCGAAATATATCTCTAGTGTGTGAATGTTATGAATACATGTATGTAGACCAATAATTATTAGTTATTTTCTGTGTCTGTCTCTCTTTCGTGATACTGACAGTATATCAGTGCTTATAGAAGCTAACCACAATATATTAGGGCACAGTAGTCATATAACTATGTCAAGGCAAGCTGCTTCATACAAAAGAAGTTAAATAGATACAGAATCGGGCAAGTTATGATAAGTGATACATCAAGTTTTGCTATCTTATGTCACCCCTATACACACTTTCCCAACATGCTCAACATGAGACAGCACTTGCTTCCATTAATATGGAAACAATCAGGTGCCTGCCCTTACAACAATCAATACATGCTTTCTGTTTTGTACACACAGTTAGCAGAAAGCTCATCGAACACTCAGTGGTATCCGTAACACACGCGTATTAAAAATTAACGCCAAAACTGGTCACATAATTCCTATAATCTCTGAAACGCAATAGTTAGTGATGTCTGATGCAGGATGGAATTGAGATAATTGGATAAATGTGTACATCGCTGGCAGTCACAGGCTGAAAGGTCGTTTGTGATCGAATCCCATCTGTTTTTTAATATTTTCCCTGTTTTGATATTTTGTCATAGTCTTTATTCATATACTATTTTGTTCCCACATTAACGCAAATCTTTACATGAATTTATTACATCAACATTTAATAAACAAACTAATTTTTAAACAGAATTACATTTTTTTTTAAATTTTTAATTTAAATTTTAATAGGGTTAGGGTTGAGGGTCAGGGTAGGCCACACTTGCACATAAAACAGAGTTTACAAAGATGTGATTTGTATCAGACCAATGGATTGTGAAGTGTATTGCCAGGCCCAGGCTGCGCAGTCATATGCCTGGCTTGGGGCAAATTGATTGCATCTGTACAAGGAGGGCGCACATGTTTAACTCGTGTGGGCAAGTTCATTACTAATATTGTACTGGTACGGGCAACGGCATAGAGATTGAAAGAGGCGACAGCATAACTTTTTCCTGGAATTAAGCAAAAAAGTTTGCAATCCGGAAATCCAACACACTGAGAGTGCCAGTACGACAAAATATTCCATCCCTAACTACTACTTACTAATGTATATCTAGGTAGTAGCTACCTATACTACTAGCGAACCTCTGAGTGAGCATTCCAAATTTCAAGTATATGTATAGGCCGCAAGTAATATTCGAGTATCTCGCACGACAATAACTATTAGTACAATATTACTACATACTAATTATGTATTAGTACAGAACTACTTACTATTAGTCATGCATGAGTGAATTGGCGATTGGCAGGG